GATGCCTTAATAATTTTATGCAAATTTGAAGTCTGCGATAAAGAAACTTTGCTCTTACAATGCCTAAATATCAACCAAAACCCAAGGATAACAACTGTATTTTCAGAAAATTACTAAAAAATGTTTTCATTAAGTTAGAATTAAAATGGAAAAATACAGGAAATCAAACGAGTCAATCCTCTCTGAGAGTTGTGAAGAGTGTGCGAACCTAAATTGATTTAACTCATTTAAGTCTATACTTTAATTCATTTTTATTTTATTTTCAACCTTAAGAATATAAGATAAACACTGTATTACATCCTTGTTAGACCAGCTTTCTGTAACACCGGAGAAGAGCATTTAAAATTCTATTTAAGATAAGGGAGCAACTCATATATATCAGCTGAGAAGTGGTAATTCAATTTAAATTTACAGTTTGAACCACTGACATAAGAAAATAAAAAATAATGATTGCAGTTTGCAAATAACCTTCAGTGCATTGGACTAGTTAAACTTTTTCTTTCCCTTTTTAAAATAGTTCAAGATTATAGCTTGAAACTGAACTAATTGGAAGAATGTTTACATTTGTAATGGAATTTTTTTATGAACATCCCCAAAAATATTATAGATTACTGTACGTTTTGGACAAATCTGTCACTTATCAGAACACAAGACTGTTAGCACATACTGTACAGTATAAAAAGACTACTGTATTTGATTTGTATGTTTTTTTAGCAGTTTATTAGCTAAGGTAACTAAACTTTTAGCAGCTTTTTGGAGATGTCCTGAGTCTGGGTCTCAATGATCAGGACAAGAATATAACAAATTTACTATCCTAAAAGCCTATCATTTAGAAAAATAGATATTATTATCCTAGCTATTCCTTATAGTCTTAAAGTGGTTTCTCTGAAATATTAAAGTTCCTTTGCAAGATTATATTTTCTTTCCTTTGTTAACACGCCATTGTGTTTAATGGCTACTAACTGTATGGTTTCTAATGAGTTAATGTTACTATAGTCTAAAAATTCATACACTGGCAGGTATATAATATGCTGATCAGCTAATCCTTCCTTCTCAAAACTATCTGACACAACATAATGCCATTAGCTGTTATCCTTGAGAAAGTGTAAGGAGAGACAGCACACCTAAGCATACTGAAAAAGAATGCTTTTATCAGTGAAATGGGGTCCAGCTGAAAGAATGGCCCACAAAAAGGTGGGTTGAAATTCAATTATATTAAATGATGAATGAAGAATGAGTTACTGAATACCAATTGTATGTTTCAGCGTAGCAATACTGAAGATTAAAATAAGCTATACTTTGTGTTAGAAACCAGATCACATGAGAAAAGAGATCTGCTAGTAGAATCACTTAAATGTTGAAACTAAGCAATAGCAAGACTGAAGAACAAATTTGGAAAGTGCACAGATTCCAGTTCAGAAGATAATGCTATTATCTTATCTTTTTTAGATATAACAATGCACTATGTGCAGTCAAGCTCTACCAATAGATTATGGTGGAATATGAAACAAGGAATACAGTACATTAGGTCCCATCTGTGTGTGTGAATGGAAGTTGTAAGTTCATGTATTTTATCTGGGGGGGGGGGGATCTTATGGAGAAATGAGGAAGTGTCAATTGTGAGGATTAAGCAGATATTCAGTTAACTCAAAGGTTCTTAGATATGCAATAGTGGTCCTCCATAATTTCATCAAAGTGTGAATAGTAAGGACATTTTCCATCACAACATCTATTGTAATTCCATGCCTTCAGGTTTAACTGATTATGTTATATATTTATTTGTGATGAAGTCATATCAGATATTTATGTAACTCATAAAACGTAGTGCACTATTAGTAATTAATTTGATTATTGGCATTATTCCAAAATGAGGTAAGGATATCACAGTGTTATTCAGGCTTTTTTGATGCACGTGCCATCATCCTCATATACGGATAGTATGATAAAAATACTGTATAATGTATTTATTTTTTGGAAGAATAGATGATTCATTATGTTGTATGTTCTTAAAAAAGCTAGTTTTCAATGTATTCACTCACATCTCCTTGAAAGAAACGCTGGGCACATCAGATAAAGCTTAAAGTAAAAAACACTTACAAACAGAAACATATCAAAGCATTGCTTTTTTTTCTAAAATAACAAATTGCAAATATTGCTTTGCAGATAACTTTAAGGTACAGTATGCAAAAATTATTTTAGGAATTTACAATCTTAGCCGGGGAACATACAGTAAGTTATTAAATAGGTGAAAACAGCTGCATTCTACTTGAACTGTAACATTATGCCAAATAATAGTGGGTTGAAGAAAACAAACACTTTCAGCATTTATAAAGCAAGGTTTATCCTGTCTATCCAATTTGGAACCGTAGAATAAATATTATTTCATATTTACTGAAATAAAGGTAAATTTAGGACTACAATGGGACAAACGTCTATAGAGTAAAAGGAAAAATGCTAATGCTACTATCTGGTTTAAAATGAAGTTATCAATGATTAATATAACAATACAATACCATTCTTAATTTATCCATAATGCAGCTACAGTACCTGTAGCTGGTTATACTGTAGGTTGCTAATATAATCACACCTTTAGTGTGATGTGTCACATACAGAAAATGTATATTGCACCGTGCCTCTGTTAGATGTAAATACTGTTTTTGTAAAGCTAAACATCCTATGTACTGTAGCTGAAGGTTTTGACATGCACAGTTCCTGGGAGACAGCAGATACAAAACAGCAAGGGTGTGAGAGTGCTTGTGTCAGAGATAATGAGGTGGCCAGAGATGAATGAAGGAGAAAGTCAAGGAATTAAGAACAAGACATGAATGGGTATGACTAAGGAAAACAAAGGTAAACATGTACAGTATATACAGTGTAAAATCAGTTACAAAATACCAAATACCAAAGTTACCTAAATACTTTCAGAAGTGACCATAGAAATGAAAACTATCATGAGATCCAGAATAAATAAAAGCTTTTATTTCCAGTTCTACAGAGACACGATTCTAACGTCAGTCCCCAATCAAATTAGAAGCAACACAGACAGAAGCAAACACATAACTATTCAAATGATTTTCTTTTACCACAAAACAGAAATTCATGACTGATTGAAACAATAAACTATATAATGTCATATACAGTACAGTATATGTGACTCTCATTCTAGAAAACCAGCAACTGTGTTTAATGCTTAAAATACTGGACTACTGAGGTATTCTGTGTGGCATATGGATCGCACGTTTTAAAAATTAACAAGAAAAAGTAGAAAGTTGAGTTTCACTTATTATTTTACACTCAGTTCTCATGGGAGTTATTAACAATCAGGATCCTCCACTTTACATTAATATTTAGCTTGTTCTTTGTGGATGCTCTTCACCCCTCTTCTCTCCATCAGCAGTTGTTTTCTTTTTGTCCTGACCAGAGTGCTGATAGCAAACAGAAGATTCAAAGCCTTCTCTCTTCTGTGTTTTCAGCATCAGAACACATACTGTACGGTACTGTATAGTGCAGTATTATACTGAAACTGGTATTTTTAGATTCATGTCTGGATGCTGTTATAAAAAACTGCTGCAAAGAATTTGTTAAATATGAAACAAATGTAATTTAATAATATTACTATTACAGAAACAACCATTATTTTTTTCTGGAAATTAATATACTGTAAAACAATGTTTTGTGCACTCCGTTTAGTTAGATGTGGTATAACATTTGTAATGCTTTCATTTTTTGTGAAATTGTAAGACAATAATGATAATAAAGAGATTATTATGCTCTTCCGATCTATTATTATTATTATTATTATTATTATTATTATTATTTAACTAGTCATGGGGATCTGTAATGCACTGCCCTGTCCTTTGTCATTTCACATTTAAAAACGTTCGTTGTGAAATCCAAGCCATTAATCAATGAAGTGACTTACATTTTTGTGAATGATATCATCAAAGACCCTACAGAAGAATTTGTGACATTATCTGCGTGATCCATACTGTATTAATGGATAAAAAAAACAATTACATAACACATTGACCCAGGAAGATCCGCACTTAATGTTTGAAATTTATCACGTTCCAGTCTTTCATTGCATTTACTTATGATTTTTTTATTCACTTTAATAGAACTGAATCCCCATTTGCAGCGCTATGTACTGCATAAACTATACTGTTCACACAAGTAATACAATTGCTTGCTGAACGGAGGTTAGTTCTCAAACATGAACCTCTTTATAAATTGAACTCCCCTTTTTTGAACATATTTCCTTCACCTATGAAACCTAAATTAAAAATGCAAGTAAGAAACGTTTAAACTTGCGCATTTCACAAGTTGAAAGAAAAAAAAAACATAAGAATCGTACAAATAGGCAAATAAATGGGTATTGAACTGTTCATGTTCTCCAAGTTGTAAACCATGCGGGATTGCATTGTTCGTTTGATTCTGTATCTTTGAGGCATGTCTCTATCATGATACACTCGAGTCGTTGCCTGGGGCTTCAGAAAAAGAAAATGAACTATTTTAAAAGGTTTAAACAATCATGGCCACTACGGCGACCTCAAATACTGATGAGGTTAGGCAAACACAACAATAATTGAGTTTTTGTTAGTTGGTGTTATAATTTCACGTTACTCACGTTTCATGATATTTGAAAATAGTTATATTGGTTAATCTGGGTAAACCGTCAAATGCTATAGAATTTTTCAGTATTTAATGGAAACTTTGCAGTGTGCAAAGTGCAGAGAAGGAAGAAAATGCAGCTGTTCTAAAATTTAAACCAGTGACGTACACTGTGTTAAAAAACAACAGCTCGGGCTCATTAATTATATTAATATGAGGCGACGAGTAATTATGTGAGAACGATTATGGGATACTTCATGGAAATAAAATATTTGCCAGTTAGCGCCTCACTGCTATTCAAGCGACAATTTAACGAAGCTGGTTGAGTTGTAATTCCTAACAGTAGATGGCGGTAGCCCAAGAAACCTGATCTGGCGAGTTCACCAGAACTCAGCCTCAGTTTGCAGCATTTGCGCAGGAGGCAGTGAAGCTGATCAGTTGAAGGGCATCAAATGAAACAAGAGGAGAGCTTGCAGCGGGTCCTCTTGAGTTTTGCGTGGAGCCTGTCTTCAAAGCCAGGAGACAGTCCGTTTTGAAAACATGGCAGATAAATCCAATTCTTTTTCAAGCAACAAGGAAGAGAAATCGGACGGAAATAATGTGTTTCAGAGGCAAGACTCGATACAGAAGAACAATATGGGAAGCCAGAACATGAAAGACCATGGCAACTCAGTGGGCTTTAAGATGGATCGTGAAGAAGCCGTGGTCGGGTTCGAAGATTTGGATGGGTCATCTAGACAATCTGGCTTTATGCAGCGGCAAATCGGGGCCATGCTTCAGCCCGGGGTTAATAAGTTCTCCCTTCGAATGTTCGGCAGTCAGAAAGCAGTGGAAAAAGAACAAGAACGGGTCCAAACTGCAGGATACTGGATAATTCATCCCTACAGCGATTTTAGGTAAGCAGTCGAAAGTCACCTTCTCACGCCTCCTCTCGTACTCTAGTCTGCAGCAGACCACATTGTCATTATTCTCATGTGCTCAGTGTTTTCACAATTCCGATTGCCAGTGTCTATTATGCTGAATTGTTTCTGTGCCGAAAGAAAGAAAAAAACATACCAGTTTCTTTTAGCCGAGGCTGCATCATGCTAATTCAGAACTGAAGTTTAAAATTCCAGTGCCCTTGTGGACCAAAATGGTGAATGTCATCTTGATAAATTAAATAAACAAATAAATAACTGAGCACCATTTCGGATGGATGTGAACACTAACAATTACTATTAATATTCAAATCAATCATTACTATCATCATCGCATGTTTCACATCTAAAAATCGACATGTGTAAGTAAAGGTACAGTAAATGAAGAATGATCTCTAAAACAACCTTTTTGGGGGAATTCGTCGAGATTTATATTATATATCTTTCTGTAGCTGATTTGGTATCTTTCTTTATCACACATTTGTATTTAACATCGGAGACTGCACCTTTTATCTTTATAAAAATCACTATTATTTATTTCATATTTACATAACAAAACAGCCAGGACACCTGTTTATAAAGGATTAAACATCTCGAGATGTATTCTTTCACGTTCATCTGTTGTTCCGTTTTTTTAAATGCATGCGGGAAAATGTCTATCTACTGCAGCAAAATATATTATAACGAAACAACGTTAACTACGAAGATTATGCCTTTAGAATAGTAACAGAAGGAAAAAGAAAATACATCTCTGTTATTGATTAAATCTGTTAAATATACTGTATTATACTTCTTTCTATGCATTGTGAACATTTGATTTATGTGATGACATTGAATGTTACAGTTTTTGATATGACATAAAAGCAATCTCTTATTTTGACTTGGAGTTATAATTTTACCCTAAAATGTATCATTTTAATATTATCTGAGTGGTACCGCACTGAAGTTTCTACAGGAAAGTCGTTACTGAGTTCAGCACCATTAAGATCTGACATTGCATTGCGGCTGTAGGTTGCGACGCCTGTGGTTCATTGACATGTTACATATACTGTAGTAGATGTCAGCATACTGTATGTACAGTATTTGTTGCTTTTTGATGGAAGATGATTACATGTATCTGGTCGGCTCTAAATGCGTATAACAATTACTTGTGTTTTTACAACGAAATAAAACAACGTTGCAAAATAGTGTTTAAACAAGTTCATGTAGAGAAGTTCTGGATTTGCAGCTGTGACCTCTTTTATCCGCTTGGGAAACCCGAAGTTATGTATTGCCTAAAGATCACCATTATTGTTTCACAATTAACTGCAAGACATTGGCATATACATAATACACTGATATGTTTAAAGATACTGTATGTGTTATTTGTTTCCTGCTCTTTATTTGGTGTGTTTTATCAAGGTGTTATACCACTATTGACACCAAGAACAGTGATAAAAGACTGCTGTACTTGGAACGACAAAACAAGAGAAAGCAAAACAATACTAAACTGTGGAGTAAACGTCTCATTATTTTCTTGAATATATTTCCATTCATCACAATATTTAATGTTCTGATCAGTAATGTTTGTGCCAGTTTTTCATGTTTCACGCTTTTCTACAGGTTTTCCTACTTTCCTACGTTTAATACTTTTTAAGCCAGAGTGATAACGTTCCTGAAGATTTTGCAATCGCTTGACACTACTAAAAAGTCAGATTCCTAGTATAAACGGATCTGCGGTAGTTTCCCATAATTATTATTGGTGCTGTCCTTGGTGCTGACAGTAAACTACTGTAGAACGGTCACACTTCCTGAGCACTTTAGCCTCCGAATTTACCTTCAGATTAAGAGTTTTCAGAGACTAACACATGGAATTTATGTGTAATTGAGGTTAAGGGAGATTTAAAGTCAAAGATACATGTGGTATCATTCTCATTAGTTTTAACTATGATGGTTTTATTATGTTGGATTGAAACATTGATATGTATTTGGAGGTTTTCCTTGTTTTGTAACTTGTATGTTCAAGATCTTTTCTCTGATTTTTGAGTGATAATAGTATGTGAGTGTCTCCTCCAAATGTGCTTTCTTATTAAAAGTGTCCCCATGAACTCTCTAGCACTAAGATTAAATTTGAAGGTGAGCTGGGATTAGACAACATGAGCCTGAATGAGATTACACCACGCCTTAGCATTTTTTTTAAAATCTAAATTACATAACAATTAGCATGACCTTTACATATCTGATATTAACAAGAGGTATAAATGTAGTATACTGCATATCGCAAGGAACTTTATACTATAATGTCTCTATGAGAGATGTTTTTATACAGTATATGGATAACTAACATGATATCAATAATGTTTCTTATTAATTTATAAAGTACTTATGTACTTGCTTTAAGTCACAAGTTTAAATGTTCTGGTTTGTATTGAAAAAATATATAATTAAATGATTAGGTTTTAAATATGTTCTTTCTCTTATACACTGTTTTGTGTACACTAATTAAAATAAAGAGTATCATTGTAGGCAACAGAAAGGTGATAGCACTTTTTGTGTGACAGATATCCCTTTTAATTTAACTTCATATTTAGTTTTTGAATGGTATGGTACATTCTTGTTAGGAAAAATATTCTTCCATTTCTATATTTTATTTTATCAGAAGAGTACACATTTTTGGCATTGCTTAACATGAAACCAGAACAAGCTGACAAGCCATTACTCTGAAGTCCTGAGAAGGTTCCAATACTGATAATAAAATTGATATGGGAAGCTAAATAAAATTTTTTAAAGGTAAAAAATTGCTTATCTTCAAAAACCTATGGGACACATTGTATAATTGTATTTTATACATAATATATTATGGAATAGTATATAATTCTACAGGACATTATATAAATGTGACACAATTTCTCCAAGACTACAGTTCAACATTAGTAACATTGGGTTTCAATGTTCCAGAATGAGACAGATTGGAATTGTCAGATTGAACTTTTTGAGCACACACACACCCATGGCATGTTTGAAGAGAAAAAGGTGAAACGGATTCTCAAAAGGTCATATATCCTTTAGATAAATCTGTTATACTGTTATAGATTGATGGTATTTTGCACCCACTGGCACTTGGTTGAATTGAAGGGCAGCAAAATTCTAAAGCATACCAGTAAAGCTTATCCAAAACACTGGTGTCTTCAGCTAAGTAGCTCAAGCTTGGTCTCAACTGGACATTCCTGCTGGAATAGGATTCAGAGCACTCACAGAAACAGATGACTAAATCATATGTCTTCCTTAATCATCACAATCTCTCTACATATGTCCAACAGAATATGTGGTGTATGAACTGCAGATACTGTAGAAGTACACCATTGTAAGCAACACATCCTCATTGAGTTGGTATGGTTCTGCAGACAGGAATGATGAGAAATGATCTGAAGCACTTGAAGATATTAGAAGACTAAAGAAAGTGCCTTCTTAAGGCTACATAATACAAAACAGGACTGTAGCATACTAATTGTGAATGTTTGATTAAATGTGAACATTGCCTATTTATAAATAGTACTTCTAAACATATTTTTGGCAGACAAACACTGTTTTTATATGCTGTATGATATTGATCAGACTTTTTGTTAACCAAATAAACAACATGCTCATTTTTATTTATTTTGCAGAATTTACTTTGTTGCACTTTATCAATCAATACATTGAAGGGACATACAGATATGCATACACATTTAGAATGTGCCTGTAAATGAGTGTACTGTATACTATGCCTGCAATTCTCAGAACAAAAAATGTTTTGGAACTTTTCTGAAACTTTTAGCTAAAGGCAACACAGGTATTTATGTATACTGGTGATATATTTATTTTCACATCACAATCTTGCTGATTATATTAGATGCAAACACAAAAGATTCTACTTTTACTACTTACTGTATGATACTGTTCGGTTACAGTGTTACATTCAAATTCTGTTTCATCTTTTGCAAGGCACAATGTAAGGTTACCCATTGTTTGCTCAGATCAGTGCAGTGTAGTGTGTTCTCTCTTTTTTTCACTTGTGCTGTTTTTCAGAGACTTGCTGAGTTTGGAACGTTTTACATTTTTATGTTTCCTGCACAAATTTAAATTTTCAGCCATATGCAGCATAAATAATTAATGTACACATTCAAAACTTCATGATACATCATGATTGTGAAGGCTAAAGCCTTTAAAATTTGATCCCCAGCAATCTCTTAACATAAAAGGAAATTGTGTCCAATTAGTAATATTTATTATTGACATTTTGTCAAAAATGTTTCATACATACATAAGTTTCTTATGTTTCATTCAGTAATTGTAGAAAATTGTTGTTTGTGAAGTGGGTGTAACTTTTGTTTATAGATATTCCAGTAACTCATTCCATGATGAACTGTACAGTATATGTTACAGAATGTGCTTGCATCTTATGTTAAATTGTATTTTGAGGAATTACAGTATTTCTTTGAATCAGAAAGCTTTTCTTTGCTACCATTTATTTCTTTGTGGATGTTCATGTTTGGAATTCCTAGTATACTGGCTGCATCTGTTGAAAGATAAGTAGATTATTTTAAATATAATTATCTAATTTGTCTAAGCACACGAAACAATCATGTACAGTAAGTACATCAACAATAAAAATGTACACTTTTGAAAAAGCTCAAACCAGTCATTTTAACTGAAATATTGCTGGGAATTCTGTTGTTCTTTTCTATGTTTGTCATGGGTTTTAATAGACCAGGATAGATTAACAGAAACACAAGTATTTGGTTAGAAAACAATCCTAAACAGGTTTCCCCTTGTAACACAATCTTCAGCAGTTCAAATACTTTCCTGAGAGAAAGGAACATACTGTATGTGGGTATTATCTTTAACTTGTGAGGTAGCTAGTAATATGGTCTTGCTCATAATTGAAAGGGAGACAATTATCTGTAACACAATCTCTAGATATTTAACAAGTCAGGGCCTTGCAAGAGCAATTATAGTCA